CAAGCCCCCCCCCCCCCCCTCTTTTTGAATATCACGGCCGGGATTTTTTTTTTTTTTAGCTATCCCACACCCCCCAGTCCCCGGCACAGATTTACGCCACTGTCGCAAGGGCGGACCCAGGAATTTTCGCAGGGGGAGGGGGTTTCATCAGCAGAAAATTCTGAAAATGTACACAGGTAAACTTGGCCTCCGTAAAATCAAAAACTGAAGGGTACAATTTTTCAATAGGCGGCGCTGTTCAAATTCGACGATTATTGACACTGGATTACAGAATGGTGTACAAATACCCCCTATCTAAGCTGCCTCCGTCCGTAATTTGAACAGGCGGACATTATACCGGTATGTTTTTTGTATGTTTTTTTTTGGGGGGAGGGTGTCACAGCTGGGGGGAGGGGGGGGGGGTTGACCCCTAAACCCCCTTCCCCCGGATCCGCGCCTGTGTTGGCCTCAAGGGTGCGGCAGGCTCGTGACGTTTGGACTGCAAACTGTATGGGTTCAACAAACTGAAGTCAGTGGGTGGACAAATAACAAATGACGTCACAAGCGAACGGTGCCCCCCCCCCCTTAAAACAAAAGCCGGTGCATTTGTACGGTACAGTAATATAGTGTACATGATTGTAGGATTTTATTAGCGCTCCCCGTTGAAAATATGGCACGACCCCCCCCCCCCCCCCTCGGCTTTTTATTTTACCGTGGAGCTATGGGCTCCGTGGACAAGTGCCTCTTTAACGGCCAGAAACAAAGAGTTGGGGGAGGACCTAGACTGGTTCCCGGTCCATTCACTGCGTATTCTGAATGATGCAAAGTTATTGGGGAAGGGAATAGTCTGGGATACTATCGCAAGTTAAATTGAATGTATGCGAGCCGACGTTGCCTGACGATCATGCGAAGACGCTGCGGCTAATAGCCCGGTTGGCACATTCTGGAAGTGGTGAACTTTGAGCGCGAACCAGTACATTACAGTACGCACGTGCTATGTCCCGTCCTGGTGCTCTCAAGTTTTGCTACATTATCGGTTAGTGATACAATATCGGTCAATTTGTGATACATTATCGGTTGGTGATACATTATCGGTTGGTGATACGTTATCCGTTGGTTACTACATTATCAGTTGTAACAAAGCTTCAAATTCTGGTCGCCGAATGTCACCATTGCTAGCGCAATTTTGTTTAGCTATTGCATGGAGGGGGCATCCGTGAATGTACACTGAAAGCGTCTATAGACTAATAACACAAAAAAAATGGGAAGCAACTTTTCTGAAACGACATATGTTAGAGTAAACGCTCATCATCACAACTTTTTTGTCTGACAGTCTGCAGTTTGAGTCCCAACTCAAGTTGATTCCTTCAAAATTGCTTGTTCACATGTTGTTTTTATCAGTGTAATTTAAGATAATTCTCTAATATTGTAAAAATTCATACTTCAGTCCATCTGAAGTAAAGTTAAAGTGTAAAAGTCCCATTTCAACGCACTGAACTCTGAAAACCATACAACCCATCTACAGGAAGTTAAAAGAAATTAACATAGTGCTTTGAGCACGTACATGTACGTAATGAGCAATGGATGGTTTTGTGGCAAGCCACTAGATACTATCAGCGGTTGAAATACATCAGATATGACTCTGAAACTGATTCATAAAAACTGTCAAGTGGTTTTGGTGCAGTTTGTCTTCCTACAGGCCTTTATCTAACCTTCCGATGTGCCGCTGTACTAATTTTCATAGTCGCTTGACCCAGGTGAAGGCCTCCAACTGCTCCCTCGCCTCTGCCCCCCCCCGTCACGCCGACCTGCCTGTAACACAGTTCATAATAAACGATCACTACATCAACCACAATGAATTTGCAAGACAACTTGCATGTGACTATATAATTGTTGATATGCAAATGTAATTTGCCTGACAGCCTTGTGGAACTTGGCGTTCTTCTGGAGCTTCTTTAGTGGCGCCACCTTTCCCCTCGCCCTTGAAAGTACAAGTGCAGTCCTCCCCGAGAACACATAGGCCAAGTACCGGGTAAACATGACGATACAGGGCAGATACCGACTTGTTATGGGCTTGTTCTGGCAGCACCGTACAGTTTCAATGGTCCAAAACCAGAAACGGCCCATTGCTGGCTTGATTGCGGCAATGCTGTTCCGTGTTGACGGCACATACCTGGTCCAGTGCTGGCAAACCTCAATGGTAGCACAATACAAAGCAATAACGATAAGCGACAAGCCATAACGGCAAGACGGCACACAGCCTGAATCGGGCCAGTGCAGGGCCTCTTACGGCAAACCATATCGGCAAGACGGTATAGAGCCTGAATCAGGCCAGTACCGGCCAGCCTACATGTATATACGACAAACCCTAACGCCAAAACGGTACAGAGCCTGTATCGGGCCACTGCTGGTCCTTTCAGAAAGACGGTAGAGGGCCTGAAGAGGCCAGTGATATTCCTGTCAAAACCATTATGGCAAGATGGTATCGAGCACGATTTGGTCTTTCTGAATGGACCAGCACTGGCCCGATTCAGGCTCTATACCGTCTTGCCGATATGGTTTGCCGTATTAAAAAGAGTGCCGGCACTGGCCCGATTCAGGCTATGTGCCGTCTTGCCGTTATGGTTTTTCGCAAGAGGGCCGGCGCTGGCCCGATTCGGGCTATACCGTCTTGCTGATATGGTTTGCCGTAAGAGGCCCGGCACTGGTTCGATTCAGGCTGTGTGCCGTCACGGATATGTCTTGTCGCAAGAGGGCCAGCACTGGACCGATTCAGGCTTTGTATTATGCTACCATTAAGGTTTGCCAGCACTGGACCAGGTCTGTGCCGTCAACACGGAACAGCTTTGCCGCAAACAAGCCAGCAATGGCCCGTGTCTGGTTTTGGACCATTGAAACTGTACGCTGCTGCCAGAACAAGCCCATAACAAGTTTGGTATCTTCCCTGTACTGTCATTTGCTTGTTTTTTTCCTTCCAAAACACCCCTCAACCCATGCTATGGTATGGCCCTCTCACGAGTCATTCATTAACAACTCCTTATTTGGAGATTGGTGTGCGCGTCGCGCGCACTACGTGATGTGCGGGCGCAGAACGAGGCTGTGCCGGTGAAGTGTGAATTTAGGACAATGAAAAACTGACTCATTTGTAGTATTGCGCATGCCTACATATTCGTGTGGATTGTGATCGTTCAACCAATAAAATGGTACATGCTTGGACTTCATAGGAGTCCAAATGTCATGTGACACTGGACAAGTTTGAAACCGGCCACGTGACGGGCTCTCGACCAATAGGAATGACAAACTGTCTGAGGTATTTATGAAGTACAAATTACATTCAGTGGTGTAATGGCAAAAATTACGTGTTGTCTATATCTCCTACTTTTCAGAACCTCACAAACTCCTAAAAGAGATTTGTTGAATGTTGCAACTGTAAACTTCTTACTTATTGCCCCCCCCCCCCCCTTCACAGGAACAACCCCTCCCTTGTTCCATATCTGAACTTCGACAAAAAAAAGCATGTCAATTAAATTATTGTCAAGGCCAATTAATATTCACAGAGTCCTGAGTGTTCAGAAGCCTGTCACTCAATTAAAAAAAAATGACTGTGGAAAAAAAAGGGGGAATGAACTTTGGGCGTTCTTTTTCTTCACCACGCGGCCGAAGTTTTCGCTTTTGCAAAGGACTAAGTATATTTCCCTCTGTCTTGCACTCTTGATAAGGACCCAAATCGGGCTGGAAAAGGTTGGAAGCACTTAAAAAGATTATCGAGGAAGGAACCCATCAGCAGTCAAAGGACTAGATAATGTTTTGGGATTCCAAGAGGTTGGAGCCAAGTGATTTTCATGGCCTTCATGTAAAAATGGGGGGGGGAGAGAGATAACCCCATACTGTATAATGCACCTACCACTTTGCAACAACTTTGTGTAGCAAGGAAACCATCAAACGATTCTACAAGAGCTGAATTTTTACACATGAACCCAGTAATAAGACCTAATACAGCAGTTAATTGATGAAACTTAATTAGTAAAGATATGTGGCTCTTCGTGAATACGCAAATTCATGTTTCCGACATATTGGCCCTTTCTGTTCAACGTGTATTTCCATAGGCGCGCGTGAGTACGCGCGCGCAGCTGAAAATGTAACAAAGATATGTGGCTCTTCGTGAAAACGGAAATCTCATTAAACCTACTGTTACGTATTTTTATGCAATGGGTTTTGTACGCGTTCAAAGGGACAAAATGTATGTGGCTCTTCGTGAAAACGCAAAATGCACTTATCGGAATTTTTGCCCCTTGCAACATTAACGTTACTTGGAAATTAATGATGTTTTGCTTACAAAAACATGTCAAAATGGTTCAGTACATTGTTTTAAAAAGCAAAATATTGAAAAATATCAAAATCGGAAAAATGGTAGTTGTTGACATATGTGGCTCTTCGTGAAAACGGTGACGAAATGACTGGGTGAGGGACACTGCCACTGGCATCTCCGCCCCAAAAATATTGGGGGGGGGGTGGAGTGACGGATTGTCCAGGATCGTCGTCCATGCCCGTACTTACGTGTATCATGCACTTATTCTTTCAAAGCATATGGTAGATACTCGCAGACAGCACGTCTTTACGCATAATCCTTGAGCAGACCATCCTAAATTGCTAACAGTTGGTAAACGGGAAGATTCTACGTCGAAATGCATCCTTGGTGCTTAAGTCTCACAGATTCAAGGCAAATTGATGCTGACAGGGGGGCTAAAAAGACTTTAACAGGAAAAGTCTGTCCGATGGTCTGATGGAGAGGATTTGTTATTCAGAGGGACCTGTCATGTCATGTCCTATTTATTTCTAGATGTTTATACACTGATAGTTGCTACAGGTACATGAAGGGTAGCAACTCTGAAACACAGGAATTACTTACTGTAATGTTTAATCCTTCAGATTATTTTCAAGAACATATGTTTTGTGCTTAAGCGGTGACCTAATGTTGTTCTTCTATGTTTAAATTTGCTTCTTTTATGCTATTTTTTTAGCCACATTCACTCTTGGTGTATGAAGAGCTTAATGGGATCAAGCGATGCCCATTTAGTCCGGAACAGAAAAGCACAGCATTATTTGCAGGTGAGTACAAAAGTGAACAGCTAATCTACTGCGCTCGTCCGACCCGTAGAGCATTACAACATAATATGCATTTTTTCCCCTTAGGGTGCTAACCATTCGCTAAGTTTATTTCCCACTGTACCTTGCGGGCTGCCCGCCATTGTACTTCCTCTTATCTTTAAGAACACTCTACGGGAAAGACATGTTTTCTGAGCTCTTAAATTTGCTCATATTTTACTCAACTACCGTCTGTTTGTTTCAAAATGTCATAAGTGTTTTCAATCCCAATACATGTAGTAGCCAGAATATACAAGTTCTAAAAGTGAACATGGAAATCACCCGATTATCAAACATCAGCAAATTGCCAGGAGAATGGTGTCTTAAACCGTATGGCCATAATAGAGTGGTTATAAATGTTAAAAGTTGCAGATTATGAACTCAAAAATGAATGGTATAATTGGTTTTGATAAGAGACGTAACATACCAAAATGGCCCAGAATGTATATTACTGTGGCTGGTACTAAGTTGAGTTATAAAAAGCATCGGAACAAGGTATCCAAGTACCTGAGCATTGATGTTAGGAACCGGTTCCCAATCAAACTATCGCGGTAGAACCCCGTCAATGCAGCTAGTAACATATTGTCCAATTACACAATATGAAAATGAACGTGGAACGCGCAAAATATGAGACAAAAAAAATTAACGTACACAATTCCATTGTAACCGGGTACCCGAGTACCCGACCATTGATGTCAGGAACCAGTTCCCAATTAACCTATCGCGGTAGACCCGTGTCAACACAGCTTGTGTCAAGATACACAATATAAAAATGGACTTGGAACGCACAAAATTTGAGACAAACAACACTTAACGTACTTGGGGTATCTGGAGTTTGGCATCCATTTGATGTGCCTAAAATAGGATAGCCTTTTCATACGTGTTATACGGTTCCCGTATAACCCATAAATACACACCCGTATTGTTTACCTCAAATGATGTAATACTTTTCTCAAAGGAAAAAGATCCACAATTTTACCTATAATGTGATAGAATATCACTGAATAAATGTGACTTTAATATTTGTGAATTTTTTTTCTGTATAGATGGAGCTTTGTATAGTGCCGCTGTAACCGGCTTCTCTGCAGTCGATTCCATAATCATGCGCAGCATGAAAGAAAGTGTAATCGAGAGGAAGGACGTGGAAACAAAATGGCTGAAAGGTACGTATCTGTTTTCTGGTTTTATGCATTGACAAGTATTAAAAGTTGGAAAAGCTGGACGCAAAATGAAAATGTCTGGTTCTTTTCAGAACCACTTCTCATCCAGATTTAATCATCCACGTGGCGTGTCTTGAAAATTCTCCAAAAATGTGTTGGTCACCATGCCAAGCCTCAATTAACGTGGAATCGAGAGGAAAAGAATAAAGTTTTACCGGTTGATGGACAGGTTGTCATCTCTTTCCAACAAAAAAAACACACTTTTACACAATATGCAAAATCTGTATCATTTCAACACATGTCTTATTATCAAGCCCTCTAAACTTTCAAGAATTTATATTTGAGTTCAATTCAGTCAAGAAGTAGTTGACAGTATTTTGTTTAAATTTTACATGTAAAATCGGATTGTATAGTAACCGTCTTAGGAATTCACTTTAACGCGAACAATCACATTTCCTGCCTGACTGTTTTCATCACAGTTTACATAAAGTTCACGGCATGTATTTTCTCTTTTCATCTCTCAGTGCCGGAATTCATCAAGTCGTTTGAGGTCGGCGACTGGGTCGTATTCTTCTTTAGAGAGATAGCAGTTGAGCATGTCAACTCCGGAGAGGTGGGGCAAACCGTAATAAATGTGTGAAGCTTGACGGAGAAAATATGACAAATTTCATTTTTGATGGAAAAAGTCAATGTTATTCTCTTTTCCTATTTAAACTCCCCAGTTTTCCGTAAGTTTTCTATTACGGAAATTAGGACCGAGTAATGGGGACTTTCTGCTGTCCCCATAGCGTCGTCGGTCCCCGTAATGACTATTGCTCTATCGACAGGTGTGTGGTCCACACGATTACGGAGCGATAGAGTGAGATTTCGTGTGGGCAGGCTGTCACCCCGTTATGGGGAAGTTTTTTTTTATTGTTAGGCAAATTAAGACCGAGTTATGGAGACTTTCTGCTGTCCACACAGCGTCTTCGGTACCCATGGTACCCATGGTACCCATGGGACAACTCGTATGTAGTCCTCACAACTACGAAATAAGATTGTGTGTGTTGAGTTCCCATGATCAGAATTCTCATACGTTCCTGTCTCAATGCTGTACAGCAGGCCATCTATTCTCGGGTCGCCAAAGTCTGCAAAGACGACATTGGCGGTAATTGGGACTTGGAGGGAAAATTTACCACCTTCCAGAAGGCTCGCCTCAACTGTTCGTTCCCCGGCTCCTTCCCGTTCTACTTCAACTATCTCCGTAAGTTTTCTTCCAATTTGAAAAAAAGAGCAAAGCCTAGCATCTTAAGTCCAACCTTCCTTTAAGCTTTTCAGCCCCCCACCTGGCTTTAAGTTTCATGCAGTCCGTGAATCCCACACTGCTACAGTTTCACCAAATTGGAAACACAAAAGACCATTCCGTCTTTGAATAAACCATTCCCAAAATTCCTCAAAACCCTGTCTGATCTTATGTTTCATAAAAACGATGAGGTTTGTTACTCTTCTTTTTTGTTTTGGTCACACCGTAAAGGAAGTTATCACATACATCAGGCACCATCAGATCCAGTGAACTCTGCTGCAATACTTAAATTACTGGGTGTACTTCATTCGCTTACCCAAATAGCTACTACATATGCATATTTATTCAGCCGACAGGCTCAAACGCTAAACAATTTGATCAACCAACGAGCGCCCTCTCGGAGCCTACCATCATGCTACGTCATTAATCCGCCATCATACTTCCTCTTTTTTCTACCAACGGCATCGTACAGACGCAAAAAAACAATTGCTATCGTTTTTTGACGAGTTTTTATACGACTTTTCGCTTTAAGGTTTCTGTTTTATAGAAGCAATCAACCAAGTGAGTTGTGTAGAATCTGTAGACTTTGGTTTTGAATAAGTAGTTCTTCATTTGGAGTGATTTTGGAGTCTTTTTTTGCCTTCGTTTTCTTCCACGTGGCGTAGCAGGTTTTTCAGCCTTTGAATGACCACGTGCGGCGGGCCAGTTTGGCACCGCATAGGGCTAACCGGGTGCCTGGTATATCGCGGGTTCTCCCTCCGGGATCAAGCACAATCCCTTTTTTAGCCCAGTCGGCTTTCTTGATTTATTATTAGCTGTTTCGGTGACACACCGAAACAGCTCTTGTTTTCGTTAAGATTTTTTTTTCTTTTTTTTTCTTTTTCTTTTTTTCTCCTTTATCAGATTTTTTCAAATCCGATCAATTTCAGACTTGGTACAAACTTAGACCACCATCCAAAGATGGTCCTAGAAGAAATTGGTGACCGTGACGTCGATCGATCATCAGGTGTCGGGTTACGCCACATTAAAGATGCATTTTTCCCCATGTGTTTTGTACACGTTTTAAAACACTCCACTTTGGCCTCTTCGTAAATCCGATCGACCTCAGACTTGATACACACTTAGACCACCACCTACAGATGGTCCTAGAAGAATTGCATGATCGTGACATCATCAGGTGTCGGGTTACGTCACATTAAAGATGCATTTTCCCCGATATGTTTTGTACAAGTTTTAAAACACTCCACTATGGCCTCTTCGTAAATACGATCGACCTCAGACTTGATACATACTTAAACCATCACCCACAGATGGCCCTAGAAGAAATTTGTGACTGTGACATCCTCAGGTGTCAGGCTACGTCACATTACAGATGCATTTTCCCCACAGGGTTAGTACACGTTTTAAAACACTCTACTTTGGCACTTTCGTACATTCGATGGACTTTAGACTTGGCACACACTTAGACCATCACCCACAGATGGTCCTAGAAGAAATAATGTGATCGTGACGTCATCAGGTGTTGGGTTACGTCACATTAAAGATGCATTTTTCCCCGTAGGGTTTGTACACGTTTTAAAACATTCTACTTTGGCACTTTGGTAAATCCGATCGACGTTAGACTTGGTACACACTTAGACTACCACCCGCAGATGGTCCTAGAAGAAATTCGTGATCGTGACATCATCAGGTGTAAGGTTACTAAGATGCATTTTCCCATAGGTTTTGTACACGTTTTTCTTCAAACCATGTACTTTGGCACTCTATGTCTGATTGACTTTTCACTTGGCAGATGACATTCGAAGTGACTTCATCAAGTGTTCATCACGTGCACAGAGTATTTCAAATATCTAAACAGCTTGTGTTTGTCCACAAACACATTTCTAGTTATTATTACTTCTGTTTTACAGTTATTTAACGATAAAACATTTTGTAAAAAAAGCAGTGCATTTATTTATGACTCCATAGACGGGACCAAAGCCACTCGGCGTTGGGCATAACTCGCCTCGAGACAAGTACGTCTCCCGAGTTATTTATCGCAATTCCTTTCCCGTCATCTTTGTTTCCGTAAAGGCCTTAGGGGAGATAGTGCGTCGTATCCCCGGAGAGAAGTGCGGTTATTCTCCACAAGGTCTGCTAGTCGCCCCGCACGTGGGGTCCCTGTTCCGGAAGTCAGGCTGTCGGAGGTTCAGGGGACTAGCGCACGTTTCGAGGAATACAGTAACGTTTTTAGATCTTAAGATGCGTACCTTCATGTTCCCACCTTCCAAGCGCACTCCCGATTCCTACGAACATCATTATTTGTATGTATCTCGATTTTATGAGACTCCTGAATTTGAGGGATACTTATACGTTGACGATGAGTCTAGGCTTCATCCTCAACGAGAAGAAGTCCCAAATTATCCTGTCCCTGGAAACGGACATATGTATGGGAATGTATTACCAGCCTGCGGAAATGTGTCAAATTATTTCTATCCGCTCAAGTCGCTCCAGCGTGAGCTTGGCTGAAACTTCAGGGGTTCATGGCCAGCTTAGTGGACCTGGTCCCCTGGTGCAGACTGAGGATGCGTCCTTTGCAAATGCACCTTCTGACACATTACGTCACCGTTTCCACGAACAGCCACATACTTTATATATTATGTTGATTTTGAAGAAAAGAGTTTTCGAGATAACCGCAAAAGAAGTTTCTTATATTTTATAACTGCTAGATACTACTTTGTAACAACTTTGTGCAGCAAAGAACCCATCACACGATTCTACTAGAGCTGAATTTTTACATGAACCCGGTAATAAGACTTAATACAGCAGTTAAGTGGTGAAAATTAATTAGTAAAGATATGTGGCTCTTCGTGACAACGCAAAATAATTCAGGTTTCCGACATATTGGCCCTTTCTGTTCAACGTGTATTTCCAATGTCGCGTGTAAGCGCGCGCGCGCAGCTGAAAATGTAACAAAGATATGTGACTCTTCATGAAAACGGAAATCTCATTTTATCGAGATTTATCGAGATTTCTGCCCCTTGCAACATTAATGCTACTTGGAAATTAATGATGTTTTGCTTACAGAAACGTGTCAAAATGGTTAAGTACATTGTTTTGATGCAAAATATTGAAAAAAATCAAAATCGAAAAAAATGGTAATTTTTGACATATGTGGCTCTTCGTGAAAACGGTCTCAATCGACGAAGTCATTTGTCCACACCTTCGGTTGTGGCTATTGGAACAGAACATTCGGTGCGGACGGAGTTTCCCCCAGGGGGATCCTCATGTCATAATCTCCAACGACGCTTCCAACGTGGGCTCGGGAGCCTCCCTTCCCCTTGACAAGCTACAGGAACATGAGACGACAGTGTTTGGTCCCTACACATCAATGTTATAGAGTTTTAGGTCGTAGTCAATGAATGCCTTACACCACTTCCAAACAGGCGTAGTGGGCCGGTCTGTTATAATCAAGACCGACAACACGACGGTGGTAGCACATATCAACAAGCAGGGCGGTACAAGATCACCCCAGCTATGCTACCTGACTTGGGAGATATTTCAGTGGCTTATCAGACACCAAGTCGATCTACATGCCATTCACATTCCGGGTGTGGAAAACGACATGGCAGACGCTTTCTCCAGGGGCAAAATAATGCCCACGGAGTGGTAATTAAACAAGAGGATCGCAGGTCAAATCTTCTCGATCCTGGGTCGCCCACACATAGATCTGTTCGCCTCAGCAATCAACACCCAACTCCCGGTGTGCTGCTCGAGATCCCATCATCCTTAGGCATGGGCCTCGGATGTGCTATCAAAAGACTGGACAAACATGTTCGCCTACGCCCTCCCTCCGATCTCGATCCTTACAAAAGTCATCGTCAGTCCTGGTTTCCACGACTGGTGAGACTCCTAGTGGGCTCCCCTCTAATACTCCCAGATCGTCACGACCTACTCCTTCAGCCTCTGTCCACCCGGCTCTAGGAGATCTCCACCTAGCATGTTGGCCGCTGTCAAGCGTGCTTTCCGATCAGCAGGTCTTTCATCAGATGTTGTCTTTCAACGCGACAAATCTATGACAGTCAACTACGACATTATAGTAGGTGGTGCTAAGAACAGACTGTGGATCCAATCTGTGCTTCTTTAAAACATTGTTCGTAATGTCTACTGTCATTGTTCAAAGCCAATTTGTCGTTAGGAACGGTGCGAAATTATCGATCAGCCATAGCAGCATGCAGTTCACAAAGGCTTCGCTGACGGCGCATCCATTTCTTTTAATGTGGCGATCACTCACCTACTCCGTGGGATGTTCAATGAGAGGCCGACAGTCAGGAAATGAGTTCCATCCTAGGAGATGGGGTCAGGTCCTGAACCTTTTGGCCAAGGCTCCATACGAACCCTTGGGCCAGGCGCATCTCATTCATATGTCGATAAAGTTAGCCTTTCTGCTCGTATTAGCTACTGCTATAATTTCGTCCTCAAAAGTGGTCTACCTCCTCTGTCTTCTCAGACAAATATGGTGTCCCGTGCGATCCCTAAAATGGTATTTGGCACGCACTAAACCATTTGAGGGTGGTTTCGTGCAACCTTTTTATTACAGCAACACAGCCGCATGGCCCGGATTCAAGGGATACCATTGCGCGTTGGGTAGTCTCAGCAATCAAATTCGCTAACTCAGACTGGCCGTCCAAAAGGGACGCTTCTGCCCAAGGCCTTGTCCTGGCCCATGACGTAGGTGCCATAACGAAGTCATGGGCATTTTTTAAAGGGGATCCCTATCTCAGAAATTTCACAGGTAGCGTGCTGGAAGTCGGCCTCGACAATAACATTCTGCTTCCTACGTGACATACTCGAGACCGGAGGTACATGTAACACAGGGAAGACGATACTGACATCTCAGAAGTACTCGTCTAAGAACCCTACCCTGTACAGTGGTCCTCCCGGCTTTGTCAGGAGACCAACTAAGCAGGTAATACACCATGCTTTTTGGGGCATTGGTATTCAATCTAAATGGTTTAAAGTATAGTCGATCGGAGAATACAAATTAAAGGTTCTTTAGTAAAAACTTGTTGTGTCTACATTTGCTAATGAATTAAGTTCTGCTGTTCAGTGTGGTGGATTTGTCGGCAGTAATGCATTTCTCCCAGAGGCATAGTTGGCATCTTTTGCTCTTGTTTGAGTAAGAGTTGGCTTGTCTGAGGATTTTCCACCTGATGTCGTAATTGATGTTGTTGTCCTTCAAGTGCCAGATGTATTTGCTGAGTTCCGTGTTTTTTTTTCTTGTGCGCAAGTTTGAACGACGATTTGTGGTTGTTGCATCTCGTTTTGAATTCGGGCTCGCTGACCCCTATGTATATTTGTGTCTTGGTCGCTAGTTACACTTGCTTGGTAGAGGGTTCCTTTTTGTGAGGCAGTTTCCAGACAGAGGACATTCTGTTGGTTTTCTGCAGTTACAGTTTTTGGTAGTTTTTTTGGTCCACTTTTTGGAGGATGGATTTATTATGGGCATTGATTATTTGGCCGATATTTTCCATACAGCTGTAGCTGACTTTGACATTGTTGCGGTTGAAGATTTTGTGGGGCTGGCTGCCTCTAGGGAAGTGTTTGTCGATCAATTGTAAAAAGTATTTGCCGACGTTGGTGGAGACATTTTTGCTTTAGCGTGGGTTGAACCAGGTTATTTTGCGGCTGCGGTTGCGTTTGTTTTTCTTGTTGTTTTCTGGGTTGAATTTTTCTGCTCTATTTAGCACCTCTTGGAAGTTTTTCTTGGAGGCGTTGAATTGCGACTCATCACTGGAGATGCTGGATAGGCGTATATTAATATATACTGTTGATTAACTGTTTATTGTTTTAAGGGCGTCTCGCCTACCCAGCCACCAGTTGTCGGTGCCACTTTATGCATGATGTACATGTAGTAACTATTTGGATAAGTGAATGAAGTAAACTCCCCCAGAAGTGTGGGACGAGTCTACGAGTGATACGGCCAAATAACTTCCCTCCCTCCTCCCCACTCTCGGCTCGCGTTACGATGGTTTTTCAACTTTAGGGCGCGAGAAGAAAGAGGAAGTATAATGGCGGATTCATGACGTAGCATAACGGGTAAGCCCCGAGAGGGCGCTCGTTGGTTGATTACATCTTTTAACGTTTGAGCCTGTCGGCTGAATAAATATGCAGATGTAGTAGCTGTTTGGGTGAGTATCATTCATAGACTCGTCCCACACTTCTGTGGGGGATTTTCAAAGGCAGCGTTTGATTGAGCTTATTTTTGTCACTCAACTGTTTTCAATTACAGAGGATGTATACAAGGTGGGAGAAGGCAGAAATATCATTTTCTATGGAGTCTTCACAACTGGGGAGTACGTTGCCCTTCTAATTGTACCTTTTGAAATTGTATATGAGTAGTATTTAAGGAGCAGGTTCACAATCTATCTGACATTTCAAACTATGTGCATTTTATGTCACTATCTGCTAAGCAGAAAGGACGATTACGCAGAGTTTGCTGTTAGATTCATTCTGCCAGGGGTGAAATTTGTCAGGATTTATCCTGCTTTCAGGATTTTTAAAGAATACCATTTGCAATCTGGACATTCTAGCGTTTTAACGTAAATGTTTTTTTTTTATAAATGTTTATATAGAACGAAAGAATCGGGTATTTTTTTACCCGCTCTGAAAAAATAAGTCCGATGTCGCATAATTTGAATTCAAGCTTTTGCCATTTTGAAATGGAAACGTTGAAAATTTGAGAAAAACTTGGATTGTTTGTTTTTGTTTTACTTTGGTTGTTTGATAGTTTTAATTTAATTGTCTTACAAAAAATAATAACAAAATTAGGATTTTTTGGTGCTTTTCTTGATTAGTTACAGTATACTTGTCATTTTTCAAACCCTTTTTTTCTCCATTGAGACGTTTCTAGTTTTGTAAAAAATATTGACAGATTGAAAAAAGCACAACAATGCAACCAAATATCCTAGAGAGGTCCGAGATATAACAAATGAAAGCTTATTTCATTCCTCTTTCACTCAAAAGGTGAGTGTTGCCACAACATATTCATTTGTGTGTTAAAGCAAATACAAACACATTCTATAGACCAAACGTTGCTCTGGCACCCTGGGTTAGCCTCAAACCCTCTGTTATATATTTTATGTTTTTTTTTAATTTCCCAATATCTCATGGGATCAGTTGTATTCAAACTGATCAGTTGTATTCAATACAAACAATTGTATTCATTTCTGACTTCTCTCTCTGTCTCTCTGTAGCCATGAGATTCCCGGCTCGGCTGTTTGCGTTTTCAGCCTGGACAAAATTGAAGAGATTATCAACGAGGGCCAGTTTAAGAGACAACAGCAGTGTACCCTGTACCCGGTCTCTGCTGACGATGTGCCCGACCCAAGACCTGGCCTTGTGAGTAAACTAATTTGGGGACAAGGGAAAGAGTTTGTATTTGATTTTTTTTTAGGTTCAATCTGGGTATTTTTGTGGCTACGGCTTTTGGCTTCTATAGTGACTTTCCACAATACAATACAATACAATACAATACAATACAATACAATACAATATTTTATTTCATCACAATTAAAAGACTTTAAAAGTGAAATTCTTCTTCCCAATGTGCACATAAAAACAATATACGTATATTTAGACACTTAAAAATTTACATAAGTCGAAAACGTCAGTTTATGAAAAGTTAATAAGTATAAAACCACCAGCAAAAATCTCTACTTTAAGAAAAGAGAAGCTTGAAAACAAAAAGCTATATTGTTATAAAAAGTATTCAAATCTGCATGCTGACATGCTAGGTTATTTATTTAAAAAGGTCTAATCTGAATTGTAAAAACGTTGCAAACAGACAGTATTTATCTGATAAAATTAGAATTATAGAGGTGTACACAATACACGTGTAGTTCTGGTCATAGACAATAAGGCCACATCTGAGCTTGCAGTCACACATGTTCCAATAAAATTAGCTGAAAGCTCTTCACGTTGACATGTATAGTCGTGCCGGGTGTCGACAGATATAGCAGTTAGCATAACACTAGCAATGTATACTCGCCAAAATGCTGTACGTTATGAACACAAGTTGGGTTGATGTATTTTACTCTCCATGGCAAGTTGAAATTTCACTGTTTGTTTTTAATTTCCTTTCAGTGTACGACAAATTCCAAGCTGGTACCTCAACACACACTGGAATTTATCCTAGCACACCCACTCATGCACCAGTCGGTACCCAACTTGGGCGGCGACAGGCCACGTTTTGACCTGACGCGGGCCGACTTTCGCATCATGCAGGTAGTGGTGCACAAACAGAAGGCATCCAATGACAAGACCTACGATGTGCTGTTTTTGGGCACCGGTAAGCAGTTTTGTACACTTACGATTCCGAGACGGATGGATCCTTAATTAAGAGAGAGTATTTGTGACCTAGCTTTTGTCGGAGAATGGAACATGTGTTGCCAGTACATTGCCATTTCAGTTCTTCAGTTCATATCTGTGCTTGTTGTTTAGAGAAGTATTTTCTTTTCTAAATTATGGTAGAAACTGTTGCATAATATCGTATTAGATCAAACAGCAAGAACTACTTGGCTTGTAGACACGGTAACTTTTGTTAGCGCAAGATTTTCTTGCTAGCATTTTTAGCAAGTACTGGTAAACTACAATGTAGGTGAAGGATTCCATTGTTTGAAGCAGAGCCTTGAAAGTCATTTCTACTTGGTCTTCAAGATATATTTTTATGTTCAGTATTATTTGCTTTTGTGGGAATAACATTCTGGGCCTCCTCTTACGTTTCCTTTCAGAAGCTTGTGGTTTGGAAGCTTACTCTCTCACAAATATAGTCTTGTAGCTTGGTACCATTGCACAACCTTGATTGATGTGGTTAATACTTCTGGGTGACAGTTAGAGGTGGCATTTATAATGATGCCTTAAGCTTGGCGCACATTGGGGCGTAGGAATGTCCAAATCTAATCCCCAAAGAAGATAGTCTTACCAGATACGTATTTTGTCGTGTCTTACCTTGACCAGATGACGGCCGAGTCCTGAAGGTGGTCATTGTCCAGGACACCAACAGTCAGTACCGCTCCAACCTCCTGGAGGAGATCTTCATCTCGCCCCGGGACCATCCCGAGGGAGTGGTCAACATGGAGGCCATCCAGCAGCAGATTGGGCAGCCGCAGGTCATCCTGGTCAACACCAACAGTACGGTGGTGGAGCTGCCGCTACAAAGATGCTACAATCTCAACGAGTGGTACGTATCCATTTCCATCAGGTATTAATGACTAGCATTGATGTCACAGTGTTTCATATAGATTTTCATCGTGTAGTTGATGACGACTTGCTCATTGCAGTGTTTTGGGATTCCGCCCTCATCCAATCTCCTCTATCAAAGTCAAATCATTAGTAAGGTTATAAGTACTGAGGAATGAACTAGGATAAAGGAATGATTTTTTGTTTGTTTTACAGTAGTTTTGAATATTTTTCACTTGATGTGTATTGGATGACTTGTGGATTGCTTCATTTAGCATATGTATGTTTGTCACTGTTTTAGCCTGATAAAGAATCGTTTGCGGTTTGTAGCGTCGCCAAATACAACTCGGCACTCCATCAATGTATTGGTTGCATGTTACGCTCTCTACTTGTTTGTTATCATGCATGTAGAATATGGAGCAAATTGTGATTATGTATTTCCGTTGTTGTTTCTACAGTGCTTGTCAACAGGACCCTTACTGCGTATTCAACAACCTGAGCCAGATGTGTGTACGATTTATTGCCAACAAATAGTAAGTAACCGAAACATTTAACCAAAAAATTCAATGTTTTATAACAGATTTGGTCATTATGTGAGGACAGTTATATGACGTCACAGTAACTACTAGTTTAAATAAATAATAATAATTTTAAAAGGTACGACGAAGTGCTTATATAAAACATATCCAAAACTGTAATACAAGTCTCTGACCAATATTATTTAAATGGTTACAGAAAACTTGCTTAATTACCTGCGATTCCCTTGAAGTGTTCAGTAAGTAAATGTTATTTTTTGTTCCCTTACAGTGATTCAGCAGATGTTGAAAACATTCGTGACTGTCCAAGTAAGTCTTTTGATAAACGAACACTGAAATACAAGAAAAGTTGTAGAAATTTCTTCAATTTGCCCCCTCCCCCCCCCAAAAAAAAAAAACCCCAAAATGTTAAGGTGGGACCTTTTCTTTGGGGACCTTTTCTTTGGTTGAAACCTTTTCTTCATTGTGTTAGGTTTTCCAGATATTGAAAGGGTCAAGTGTAACCCTCATGTTTTAACACAATATCAGAAAGCTGGAAAAAAGTGAAGTTATGTGTGACTTTCCTTTACATAACAGCGTTCAACAACAGAATTAAGTCATAATTTAATCACGATTACTTGCATTTTTAGTTGAATTTTTTTTTTCAAGCAAAGAATATTGTTTTCATTTTGTTGGATCAGGTGAAACCTCTTTTGTTGAAGTTACTTTGAAATACTCACGTGACAACTTTATTACTTTGATAGCTTTACTTAAATTGTGACAAGTTTTGTTCTTTATTTCTATCCTTTCTATTCACATCCTGCTTTGGCTCTGCTTTTCATATTTGTCATCCTACAGAAGAAGGTAAGTCAGACAGTAATCCCAATTGTATAATATCAGTAGAACTGGTTAATACCAATTAGGAGAAAAAGTCATTTTGAAATCCTTTCGTAGGGCTTTGTTTTTTGTTTGACAATTATTGTTGCTTGCATTTTGTCACTTTTCAAACTACTCGCATTTCTGTTGAATTTTCAGAACAAAATCATAAGTCATGACGTAAACTTTATTTAACAGATGCATACAGCAATAATGGCAAATTCTAGAAGGATATTGTTTTCTTTAACTCCTTTTGGGTCCTTGCAATTTATAATTACAGGTTCGGATTATTCAGTTAAGAGGAATTTATATTTTAGTAAAAACATATTCAGGAATCGACAGCTGTAATTTTAATAAGTGGCGCATTTTTTTACTTTCGTAAATAGGTTACACTTAAATTTGTTAACCACATTAATGCAAAGGCTAACGAACCGGGAATATGCCGGCTGAGATTTAAGACAGAGTTAGGAAGCTAGGACAGAAATAATCTAGTGCATATAGAAGTGTTCCGTGTGTTTTTTTCGCAATGCAAAGTAGCTTTGCCCATAACAAGCATCATCTGCCATAACAGCTGCTGCAAATGTTAAACTGATGTTACAACTGTGCATTAGTCACGTTAGATTTTATCTTAATATGGACAAACAAAATTGGGGGAAAAGAAACCTAGAAACACAAGAAATCCAGAAAACAAACAAAAATAACCCCCTCTAAAAAGCCATGAAAACAAACCACCCCGCCCCTACCTCCCAAAAATAAAAATATACACATGTGAACTTCCTCAAAGCATTTCCGATTTTTATCAACAGTCGAAATTGGAGAGAAAAAAAGTCAAATTATAACACTAAACTACACTTACATGGACACAAAACATCAGGTCAACAATTAAGAAAGTACTACAAACCATGGAACATCCCCTCTTGTAAAAAAGCTGTCCCACATTGTATTTTTGGCCAACCGCACTTTGTGAATGTTACAAATGCACATATACACCATACAGACATCCCCTTCCAACACATTTTGCTTTTTCCCCTGCCGCTGTTGGTGACTTGAGGCATGTGATGATTTCTAGGTTACTTTAACTCACACACGTATGTGTGTTGCCATAATGCTTGTTAATTTGACGAGTTAATTGACTAATAATTGAAAGGGTTTGCGTGTGTGTCGTGTAATTCAAACGATCTCTCGAGATGGTTCTTTGAGAACGATTCAAAGCTAACCAAGTTGGTTTTGGTTTAGATTAATGATCCCTTTGACAACTTTGCAACCTACATTGCATCTTGCATTGAACATGTACATTGAACTTTTTCTTAATACCCAACTACGCAACTCGAAAAAGGTTACTTACCGTGTTAATCAGATAACTGCTAGCTTTTTACGTTTTGAGAGGGAAAAAAATGAAAAGGTTTTCAAATTCAATATGCAATTAAGCGTACCATTTCTAATGGTCTGTCTTCTTGTTGGGAGAGGGTATACAAAATAAGCCACTAGGCAACCAGCTTTGAGGGTGTGTTACAACTGATAATGTAGTAACCAACCGATAACGTATCACCAACCGATAATGTATCACATATTGACCGATATTGTATCACTAACCGATAATGTACCAAAAATTGACTGATAGTGTAGTAAAATTTGTATCCGATAATGTATCACGTGTCGACGGATAATGTAACTACAAAATAAGTGTATCCGATAATGTATCACCACGGAACGGGGACTGTATCAACCGATAATGTATCAAAAATCAACCGATAATGTATCAGTATTGGGAAAAGGTGTACACAAATGTTTGTTTTATGTCCGACTATCCCGCCCCACGTTTTGACCAGGGAGGGGGGGGGGGGTCTGGGCTAGTTGATCACCATCACCCCCATTATTTTGTATTTAGAGAAAAAGGGCAGATTTTGAGGTATTTTTCAAACTTTTCAACCGACGAAATGTATTAAATAGTACTGAGAAAAGGAGAAAAAATTCAAATAGCTTGAAATGCGCTGGGACGTTTGTATCATGAACAGCGCCCCCAGTGTCATGTAGTATCCAGCAAGCCCCCCCCCCCCCCCCCCCCCCGTTTGTATTTCACGGCCAGGACTTCTTTTTTTTTTTAGCTATCTCCCATCCCCAAGTCCCCAGCACAGATTTACGCTACTGTTGCAGGGGCGGATCCAGGAATTTTCGCGGGGGGGGGGGGGGGTTCATCAGCAAAACAATCTGAAAATGTACACGGGATTTTTTTCCGGACACTTGGCCTCCGTAAAATCAAAAACTTGGGGAAGGGGGTATCATATTTCAATAGGGGACGCTGTTCAAATTTGACAATTATTAACACTGGATTACAGAATGGTGTAAAAATACACCCTATCTAAGCTGCCTCCGTCCGTATTTTGAACAGGCGGACATTATACCAGTATTTTTTTGGGGGGTGTCACATCAGAGGGAGGGGGGGGCATCATTTTTTTAAGGAATTTGTAGCTGGGGGACCCCCCCCCCCCGATCCGAGCCTGTGTTGGCCTCAAGGAAGCAGCACGCTCGTGACGTTTGGACTCCAAACTGTGTTGGTTGAACAAACTGAATTCAGTGGGTAGACAAATTACAAATGACGTCACATGCCAACGGTGCCCCCCCCCCAAAAAAAAAGCTGGGGCATTATTTTGTACGGTACAGTAATATTGTGTACATGATTGTAGGATTTTGTCAGCGCTCCCCGTTGAAAATATGGCACGACCCCCCTCCCCCCTCATCGACCCCCTCCCCCTCATCCCCCTCCCCCTCACCCCCCCCCATCCCCCCACTAAATGAGCAGTAATGCTGTGATTGTGCCCTTTTCAAATCTGTAAGAAAAAAAATCGACTGGGGTCGATCTTCGACGATTTCCGCCTAAATCCGGTAAACTTGTTACATTGTATCTTTTGTGACCGCTCAAGTTACATGATCATTTAAGATGGTAGTTTTGCTAAACACATGCCTCGCCACTCGTATGTGTTCCCGGTTCATGCACAGCGCGTATTTTGAATGATGCAAAGTTATTGGGGGAGGGAATAGTCTGGGAGACCATCGCAAGTTAAATTGAACGTATGCGCGCGCCGACGTTGCCTGGCGCTCATGCGAAGACGCTGCTGCTATGTAATAGCCACATTCTGGCACATTCTGGAAGTGGTGTGGAACTTTGCGCGCGAACCAGTATAGTACAGTACGCACATGCTGTGTCCCGTCCACTGATCTCCATACGGAGATCAATGGTCCCGTACGTCCATGGGGCTCTCAAAAGTGGTAAAACGCGCCCTCTTGTGTCGCAGCACGGAGCCCATATGGAGGCCAAGTGCCCGGAGAAAAGAACTTGTCCACATTTCGGCGCGGATGTGCGAGTGCGGTTACCCCCCCCCCCCTTGACATCAAAAGCTGGATACGCCACTAGCCTAGGCCCACTTGGAAGTAGAGCGTCTCCAAACCAGAGCAACTCCCTACCTCCCAAATTAAAAAAAAAATATTCTCAATGATAAACTTTCTCGAGTGGGGACTTATCATAGTAAAGGCACTTATTAGACTTTAATTAATTTGCAATATTTCCACCTTTTCCCAATACTGATACATTATCGGTTGATTTTTGATACATTATCGGTTGATACAGTCCCCGTTCCGTGGTGATACATTATCGGATACACTTATTTTGTAGTTACATTATCCGTCGACACGTGATACATTATCGGATACAAATTTTACTACACTATCAGTCAATTGTTGGTACATTATCGGTTAGTGATACAATATCGGTCAGTTTGTGATACATTATCGGTTGGTGATACGTTATCGGTTGGTTACTACATTATCAGTTGTAACAGGGTGTTACCTGTCCTCATATGCATGAATTGTTTGAGATCAGTAATCCAGTTTGAAAATGTCATTGTTTAGTTACTTTCTTTGTTTTTTATTTACAGTTCCAGCTGATTGTGAGGTACAGGACCCAGTCAATGGTGAGCTTACCCATCGGGTCAGATGTATCCGGCACAACAGTGAGCTTGACTACTCTTGTAATAATGGATATGAGAAGGAGAACAAGGTGACTCGTTGTGAGTGGGGGGTGTTGACCCCAGGCCCACCAAAGTGTGTCCATCGTAAGTATATCTTTATTTATTTACTTCTCAGTTTGAAAGGATCAGCACAGATAGATAAACACATGATGAACAGTTTACAATGGTGTTTCAAGTATTAAAAACATTTAAACACAATTAAAATTACAAGTAACTTGAAAAAAATTGTGTATAAAGGTAATTAAAACAGCAAGACACGAAACATAAAGTAACAAAGCATGATTAAGCTTAGGACAATATGCGGGATAGCTAACTATTGTACCTATACTTGTCAGACAGAAATATATCACACATGCATCTCTAAGAAAAAAAAGTCCCGAACGATACATTATAATACAGATCAGTATAAGAAACAGAACAAATTATGTTACAGAAAGAAACATGAAAAGTGCATACAAAATCATTAAAATTCCTCAGAAACCCAGCTTAGAGTCTGTATACCCTTCATTCAAAACTCTATTGGTGTGGTTTAAAGTATAATTAGGTGGATGACATCATTTAATGCTTGCATTATTTCAAAACCATTTATATATATAGCCGCGTTTAAAGACCATTTCCGATGGTTTCCAGTCTGAAATATGCATCTTATGTACAGTAAAATATTGACTTCGAGTCTCTCCTTTTGTCTCTTCCTATTCTTTTACTTCGGTTTTTCCTCTTTTGTTTGATTTCGGGGGGGGGGGTAAACTGAGGACAAAGGAAGACAATTGGGGGCAGCAAATGTCCCCTTGCGCTCCCTCTACCCCTCTCCCCACCCCCGTAGCGCCCCTCCCCCCCCCCCCCACGAATTGCAAAGCTATATGACATTGTGCATAATTGATCTTGATGAATTCATACATATCGTTGCCGTAACTTCCAAAGCAGAGATTGAAAATACAGGAATTTTGATACTATAAACTATAACCTGCGATCCTGATTTGTGAAAGCATGGCAACAAGCATCTCGTAATTTCACGCCTTTCATCATGTTAAAAGTCACGTTTTTATATGAAAATTCATAATGAAAACAACTGCAACTATGGTGATGAGTGACAAGTGTCCTCAGCATGAGCATTTTTCTTATTTTATAGTTAAGTTTGCTTCAAGATATATTTGGTTTATACGTTTGTGCTTAATCGTCTAACCTGAAAAATGTAAAATATATTTGCTCCGTAAGCCACTGGGTCTTTGGCTTTATGGCATATTTGACATAAAGCATGTTTCTGTTCAACGCGTTTCTTGGAGATCACTACTATTATCTTCTAGCCAGAATCCTCGATCCTGATTTTTAGATACATGTCAACATCGGTGGTATTATCCCATTTTGCATGGTCCAAATTTCAATATGTATCGGGCATCGTATTATAAAAGGAGTTTACTATTTCTGCTGCATGCACGTGTAATATGGTAACAACTGAAAGGTTCGTTCTCCGTGGACATTTCATCAGCACTGTGTAGGCCTATCAAGTTTGCAGAAGATAAATTCGTTATCCCGCGAGTGAAGGAGGAACACGGAAAATCTTCCGCGTCCGAGATCTATGTACCACTCAACCTTAAACCTCGTGGCACATGGAACACAAACACTTGTGGGATAACTTCTCCATTATTGCTTTCTCAGTAGATACTGTAACGAGCGTCGCCTATTACCCTCCCTACCCTGGGTCTGGTCCGGTCCAAAAATTGACTGATAGTGTAGTAAAATTTGTATCCGATAATGTATCACGTGTCGACGGATAATGTAACAACAAAATAAGTGTATCCGATAATGTATCACCACGGAACGGTTACTGTATCAACCAATAATGTATCAAAAATCACCCGATAATGTATCAGTATTGGGAAAAGGTGGAAATATTGCAAATTAATTAAAGTCTAATAAGTGCCTTTACTATGATAAGTCCCCACTCGAGGAAGTTTATCATTAAGAATATATTTTTTGAATTCGGGAGGTAGGGAGTTGCTCTGGTTTGGAGACGCTCTACTTCCATGTGGGCCTAGGCTAGTGGCGTATCCAGCTTTTAATGTCAAGGGGGGGGGGGGGGTAACCGCACTCGCACATCCGCACCGAAATGTGGACAAGTTCTTTTCTCCGGACTTGGCCTCCATATGGGCTCCGTGCTGCAACACAAGAGGGCGCGTTTTACCACTACGGGACCATTGATCTCCGTATGGAGGTCAATGGACGGGACACAGCATGTGTGTACTGTACTGGTTCGCGCGCAAAGTTGCACACCACTTCCAGAATGTGCCAGAATGTGGATATTAGCAACAGCGTCTTCGCATGAGCGTCAGGCAACTTCGGCGCGCGCATACGTTCAATTTAACTTGCGATGGTCTCCCGGACTATTCCTTCCCCCAATAACTTTGCACATTCAAAATACGCGCTGTGCATGAACCGGGAACACATACGAGTGGCGAGGCATGTGTATGGCAAAACTACCATCTGAAATGATCATGAAACTTGAGCTGTCACAAAAGATGCAATGTAACAAGTTTACCGGATTTAGGCGGCAATCGTCGAAGATAGTGTAGATGCGATCAAGCTTCATGGGTCCAATATCGGTCAATTTGTGATACATTATCGGTTGGTGATACGTTATCGGTTGATTACTACATTATCAGTTGTAACACCCAGCACTTGGTGACGACCAGATGTCCTATGTTCCACCACAGAGCTCACCGAGTGATATACTTGGGGACTTCGGGATAACCTATGACTGTGTGCCTTAAGTGGATGGGGGATTTCCTAGTGGATTGGGTGGATTAACTGGTGGATTGGGTGGATTAACTTGTGGATTGGGTGAATTAACTGGTGGATTGGGTGGATTAATTTGTGGATTAGGTGGATTAACTGGTGGATTGGGTGGAATCTGGTGGAGGAGTCACCTCTTATTAGCAACAATTAGACAATACAGCAGAGACAGGAGACTTCTTTGACTTCTTTGGTCCCACCAAGCGAAGAAGTGAGGTTTATTTCTCTCACACTCTGCCTTTTATTGGCCAACATGATCCCCAGCATTTGCTTACAATAAATACACATCATTGCTAAAGTACAGAGGATGCAATAACCAATCGAAATGCAGTATTGCTCAGTAGATGACTTAAGCCACGCCCACTAACAGTACTGGCCAATTGGATCCTGTTATTCTAGCATGAGTGACTTAGCACTAAGACATGTCACTATACATTTCATGTTGATGTATAAAACGTTTACTTGATGATTCATTACAATACGTATTGCATATAGTTTCATGAAAAAAGTGGCCTATATTTCAAAAGAACAGGCAAAATAGCTTATGAATGTCACAAAAGAAAGCATTGTGTAACCCTGTAAAAAGAAAAAGGTTCTGATTACAGGATTTCTTATTTGTTGATTTTGTGAATATTTTGCTCTAGAACGCTGTCGTTCATGGGCGAGTGACCTCAATAATGTTATGATCAACAACCAGCAGCTTAAACCAGATGCAAAGGGATTTGTATACATTTCTCATGACACAGAATTCATCTCCAATTGCAAAAGAGGAAATGAACTAACAAATAACAATATATACTCTGCTCAGTGTTGGAGGGGAGAGTTTCTGTATTTCACAGAATTTCTATCCTGTCACGCAGGTAAATTCAGTTTCACAACAAAAAGAGTTGTAATTTTATAAAAAAGTAAAATAAATAAATAAAATAAGTACAATTTTGAACAATGTATCATTCCCTTTTAGTGTGCAATTTTGGAAGCAGAGTAAAATTGTAAATATTAAAAAAACATGACAAATCAAACGATTACGTCATCGCGACGTCACTTCGGACTTGTACCTTTATCAACTTCCATGGTAGCATACTAGTACCATTATCAACCTACCCACCAAGTTTCATGATGATCGGACCTTCCTTACATGTTTTGAAAAATCGCATGTTTGATGACGTCATGATGACGTCACACATATTTCAAAATTTTGTGCAAATACATTGTACATAAACCAAATACAAAAAGAATTTTGAATTTTGCATGTTGCGTTCGTGAGATATAGCTAAAAGGTCAAAAAATTCAAATATTCATATAAAATGGCATAATGACGTCATCACGACGTCACCTCATTTTTAACCTATAACACATCCCGGTCTACCCACATATTAAGTTTCAACCCAATCAGACTTACGGTTCTTTAGATATAGGACTTCAAAATATGCACGTTTGTGATGGCGTCACGTGACCCCTGATGACGTAATTACGACGTTACTCTTCGGGAGACAACTTTACCATAAGGACAATGCATACGCTTAATTTGAATGATGTATGACGAAGTTCAATGCCAAAAGTGGCGTGTACTAAAATCGTGCACAAAGTCTATGGGATTCTGGGCACAAAAAGAAGAACCCCAGAAAAAAAAAATAGAGCTATGTCTGTTCGAACAGAACATAGGTCTTTTTCGCATTTAACAAATGTTCATGTTTGGTTTATTCTTTTGCAGCAATTTCGGCCCCAGTGCTTACTTTATTTCCAACCTAGCTTCCAATAGTAAGCCCTGGATAGGTGTTGTGTTCGTACGTCAATTAATACCCGATTAGTGAGAGACCTCTCATTAGGGATACTTTTCTGGTTACTTCGTATTGTATTCACGTTCCATGTCATGTCATAACACACTAGAGTACACCCATACTAGAGTGTACATCAAATAACAAAAATGACGTCATACACTTGTCGCGCTATAAATAGCTTACTGTATTCTGCATACACTACATCCTCTCCCCCTTAATATGGAAGCCGTACAACAACAAAAATATCACTTTCTACTGTCTGAAAATACCCTTGACTGAAAATACTGTCTATAAAGCAATGTCACACTTCACAAAATGCTAATCCTTGGTTGCAAGAAAATATAAGTTCAAAAAAAAGAAAATCTTTTTTTTTCCATAATCAAATCCAAGCCTTAGACAAGGTAGTAATGGCTTTAATTTGAATAAACGGAACTTCCATTAGGATTTCCTTCTCGTTTGTTTGTTTGTTTTTTTTTGCTGTTTTTTTTAACCCGTGACATTCCAATACCGTACAATTTCAACTGCAACCTTTTTTGTTTTGTTTCAAAACTGCAACTCTAAAAGCTGTTTAAACAACTTGAGTAACAAGACAAACATTAACACAACTGTAACAACTCAAAGTGCAGTACATGCACATTTTAACTCTCATGCCGGCCACTGCGAACAATAGTTAGGTTATTCCATAGTCTCAATTAGTCTGTCTAGGGATTTGCTGACCCTTGACGGGCGACGTACGGGTTTGGGTGTTTGGGTGAAGCACTGGAATCTGCGGTTACGGTCGGTGTCGCCGATTGTGCAGTTTGCTCACCATTTATGTTGTATGAGGGTGACGCGTGTGTAAGTTCTGTCTGGGGAATTTGCGAACCAACGACTGGAGCTGTCTCAGTGGTAGGGGTAAACACCGGAATGGATGCTAGGTCAGACATATCACTATCTTGGTGAGCTGAGGTGTGCATCCCATTCCTTGAGATCTGAGAATGACTGGTTGTAGACCGTTCTGCTATTCACATCTGATCCACGTGTCTTTTCCACACTCGACCATCCTGCAAAATCACCACATAAGACTTTGGGGCTGTGCGCTCCGCAACTGTGGCCAGCCACCAAGTCTCTTTTCGGCATAGAAATCGCGGAGTTGGGTCTGTTTGCGTTCATCGTCCGGGCGTAGCTTGTTGCATGTGTCGTAGTGCGATATGTCAACAGGAAACTGTCGATGCGTTGTTGCGAACTCCGACCACTCGATTTGCTCCAGCTGAGAGCGCGTTTGAAGGATTGAACCTTTCGTTCTGCTGCACCATTACTTGCGGCGCGGTACGGTGCAAGTCTTACGTGGTTCACGCCATTCACCTTGAGGAACCGTTGGAACTCCTCACTTGTGAATTGCGGTCCATTGTCACTGACAAGTTGGTAGGGGATGCCATACTTGCTGAATAAGTCTCGCAGCACCGTGATGGTTGCATTCGCGGTGGTGCTACTCATGTGGAAGATCTCTGGCCATTTTGCGTATGCGTCAATGACGATCAGGAAATCGTGACCGTCTTTCTGCGCGAAATCGATGTGAATTCTGTGCCACGAAGAGCTAGGCCACACCCATGGCATTAGGGGTGCCACAGCTGGAAGGTATCTAGTCTGTTGACAGTTAGCACAGAGACGGAGAGTCTGTTCGATATCGCGATCGATGTTAGGCCACCAAACGTAGCATCGTGCAATTTCTTTCATCCTGACAATTCCTGGATGAGCATCATGTAACTCACCAAGAATGACCTTCTCGTACTTGTAGGGTATCACAACTCTTAATCCCCTCAACAAACAGTCCTGTTCTGTGGATAGTTCGTGTCTGCGATTGAAGAACGGTTTGAGGCGTTCGTCCCTTACCTCTGCTGGCCATCCGCTTTTAGTGAACTCTAACACGCGCGAAAGCACACGATCAGTTCTTGTAGAATGTGAGATCTCCTTACTGATTACTTGTAGTCTATCCAGGCGTTTGTCCTCGATGTTGTAGATAGCGTCTTAATCGTCATCCTCCATTGTGTGTAATGGGAGACGTGAGAGCGCGTTCGCGAGCACATTCTGCGAAGATGGAATGAACTGCAAGTCGTAGTCAAATGCGGACACATTACAGCCCATCGCTGAAGACGTTGTGCTGCAAGGGTTGGAATCGACGCCTTGGGACCAAGGATTCGCTCCAATGGCTTGTGATCAGTCCGTATGGTAAATTTCCTTCCGTAGAGATATGTGCGGAAGCGTTTGAGACCAAACATGATTGCCAGGGCCTCCTTGTCCGGTTGCGCGTAGCCCTTCTCATGTTTATTGGGTGAGCGTGAAGCATATGCTATAGGATGTCTGGAGCTGTCAGCGTACACATGCAGCATGACTGCTACAAGTCCAAATGGTGATGCGTCCGTTGCGAGCCCGAGAGGGAGTGCTGGGTCGTAGTGAGCGAGAGGTTTGTCTGAACTGATGGCGTCCTTTACTGCCTCAAATGCCCTGGTACATTTATCCGTCCATGAGTGAAGCTCGGTGACATTCTGTGGAACTGGAGCGTTGCGTATCGCGTCAACCTTGTCGTCGGTTGACTGAATCTCTTTTGCAGAAAATCGACGTCCCATGTAGATTACGCTCTCCTGCATGAACCGACACTTTTCGGTCTTCAACCTGAGACCGTATTTTCGGAATCTCTGGAAAACGTTCTTTACATTGCGGAGATGTTCCTCATCCGTCTTGCCTGTAACAAGCACATCATCCATGATTGCGCATGTGCTGTCCAGACCTGCTAGTACTTGTTCGATGAATCTTTGCCAGATTGCAGGACTCGATGAGATACCGAATGGTAAGCGTGTATACCGATACAGTCCCTTGTGCGTGTTAATCGTGACGTATTCTTGGGATTTGTCGTCGAGCAACATTTGCTGATATGTGCATTTCAAGTCGATTTTGGAGAATTTCTCCCCACCGGCTAGCTTGCTGAATACTTCCTCCGAAGTAGGTATGGGGTACTGACCGGTGTGGATTGATTTGTTTACAGTGTTTTTGTATTCCCCACACAGGCGTACCCGTACCATCTGCTTTGGGTACACACACCAGGGGTGTCGCCCACTCGCTGAAATCAACTGGGTAAATGATTGATGTCCCTTGCGCCATTCTGGCAAGTTCCCTTTCGACTGCGGGGCGAAGAGCCAATGGCCCTGTGCGAGCCTTGTGGA